TATTCTAATTTTTGAGTTTCACCTGTATCTCTTGCTTAATGACCAAATTTCTAAAAGGTAACCAAAATTAAAAGACAGTGACTACTGTCAGCCAGACAGCCCCATTACTTTCTACAGCATGCACTTATGTAGGCGCAGTAGCACTAAGTTATTGACTCCAGAAAGCCACAACAGGGATTGGGGAGAAGAGACACTTTTCTACAAATAAATCTACAGCCAACTTTAATCAGTGGAGCCAAATGGCACATAGTAGGAACTAAATTATAATTTCAGTAACTGTTTTTTTGATTGGACTGACAGATTCCTCTATATTAATGTGTCCACTTGGACAAGCTTTTATTTTTTTTTTAGGCTACTGCTCCATTAAGATCACATGCTTCCACAGATTTTCTAAAGCCATTTACCAATAACACTTTATTAATGTGAAGCTTTAACAAAGTAAAACATGTAATTGAAAGCTTATACTAAACGCAGCGAAGAAATGTGCTTTCAGAGGGAATGCAAGGGGCTGTAAACTGTTTATTCTGCATTCATCAGTTGCTGATCTAATGTTCTGTGACAGAGGGTTTATTGTTTTCTTCCAGTAACTGAACCAATGACCCTTCGCACAGTCACAGGTTTGCTGCTTTCTTTCAAAATGTTGCTTTCTAATCAGTTTTCCAAATAACCAATTTACTGGGTAAAGCTGTGAAGTCATTATACATGTAATGTTTTGTGGAGATATCTATACTATTTTTTTCCTCCCACCTTCATCGGAATAATAAAAAGACGGATCGCCATTGCTATGACCCATGAGACCCATAAAAGAGAACAAATGTGTATTGTATTTTTAGTGACTACACACAGATGTATCATGGCAAGAATTATTCAAAGTAACATCTGTGGGATTTTCCTAAACTCACAGAAGTCAAGGTCTAAGTTGCAAAGTAAAACTAGGGCACACAGAAGAGTTTTCTAGTTAGCTGATGATGGTAATAAAACGTATCCGTAGTGCAGGAATAAGAAGCCTAGGAACCCCAGCCGCTCAGGCATTCCGAGATGCTGACAGCCACAGGCATGATGAGTGTCAAGGTTGCCCACATTTGCTGTAGTGTCTGCTTTTAGGCAAGACTAGATATACTACAAGGGATAGACCAAAATTTTAGTGGCCGAAATATATCGGCCAAAAAGAGAAAATGCTGATAGGAAAATATTAGCCGATACAGGTGCCGATAGGGGGCGGCGCTGAATGGCAGGAGAGGAGCATTGTATATAAGTGAGATACCGCTAAATGTCACTGCTGGTTTTTAAATGTAATTACCAGCTTCTTTGTCCCTTCACTATAGCTCCACGAATGAGCTGTCATTCTCTCCTCCGCTAAAGGAAATGAAGGGGCGGGATCACTGGGTAACCCTGCCCCTTAGTTTCCTTTAGTGGAGGGAAGATTGACAGCTTGTTCTTGTTAAAAACCAGCATTGTTTTTCAATGCAATTACTGGCTTCTTTTTCCTTCACTATAGCTCAGAGAAGGAGCTGTCATTCCCCTCTCCTTGCTAGGTCGGTCCTAGCAACCAATCACCTGCGGGTTAATATGAAAGGTTCACTTGGCCAGCATCAACTCCCGTCCTCCATCCTGAGCCCTGCGTCTTCCGCTCTCCGCTGTGCACTGAGAATATCAGCAGCAGCAGAGGGAAAGGTGGGGGAGAAGACACTACCTGGGGGGGAGGTGATATGCAGAGGACACTGCTATGGGCAGGGCCACCCCCATAGCAGTGTCCTCTACCACCCTTCATATCAACCCCCCCCCCCCCCCCCACAGTAGTGTCCTCTGCCCCCCCTTTTCCCCCATAGCAGTGACCTCTGGTCCTCTTCCTCCTCTAGCAATGTCCTCTACCCCCCTTTTCCCCCACCAGCAGTGTCCTCTTCCCTCTCATGGACAGGTATTTAAAAATCTGAATTCCCAGCAAGTGGCTGGGGATTGGGATTGTTCTGCCCTCCCTCCTACCCTGATGCCCTAAGGTGTCTGCCTAAGCAACCGAATGCTGGGCACCAGCATAAGGCTGCTTAGGTAGGTGCCCTAGGGCACCAAGGTAGGGAGGGGGGCAGAAAAATCCCAATCCCCAGCCACTTGCTGGGAATTCAGATTTTTAAAATATCTGTCCATGGGAGGGAAGAGGATACTGCTGGGAGTTTAGATTTCTAAAATACCTACCATCCGACAATACCCTTTATTGTCCTCCTGGAGCAGCTGAAGGTGAGCATCTCCTCCTCGCCCTCCCACCAGTGTACAGCTGCTGCAGGAGGAAAATCCAGGTGATCGGTTCTAGTAAACGCCCCCCCCCCACTGCCAGTCCCATCCTTGCTCCAACTTTTTTCTGCTGCCTGGCCCTTTCAACAGGGATCCTAATGAAATTGTGAAAATATTAAAAAATAAAAATGTAAAAATAAAAACTACTGACACCATCCACTGCCCTACTGATACTGTCCACTGCTCTGCTGACTGGCACCATCCACTGCTCTACTGACTGACAACAACCTCTGCTTTACTGACACCGTCCACTGCCCTACAGACTGACACTGTCCATTTTTAACGTAGGCCAAGTTTGTATTTTTACAGTAACATTTGTTTTATTATATTTTTCTACATTTCCTTGCTATTTAGTTAGGCCTTACTAGTTATTTTATTTTAAATAGCGCTGAACCCCAATGATCTTTGATCTCTTTAATGTTGTTCAGGTAGAACCTCTCAAAGGTTGCCTACCCCTGAGGTACAAAGTAATTAACCGCCTAAGGACCGCCCTATAGCAGAAATACTGCTACAGGGCGGCACCTGTGCGCAGAATTACGTATATACACGTGATTTTGCATTTCCGGGTAGGGGGGGCACACGCACCCTACCTGCGCCGCCATTCGCGGGCACGGATGTCAATCACCGGTCCAGGACAGTATAATTACACACAGACGCGCGGTGATTAGAGTGCATCTCCGACAGGGAGGAAGATTGTTTGGTTTCCAATCTTTTTCCCTGTCAGTTCAAGCACACTGCTCAGGATGGCTGTGCACAGTACAGCCATCCCGCTCAGTGTGCTTACAGTGAAGAACACACCCCCTGCCCCCTAGTAAAACACTCCCAGCAAACACTTTGATTGCCCCTCACACTAACCCCTTCCTGCCCAGTGTCTGTGCTTTTTTTTTTTTTTTTAGCACTGATCACTGTATTGGTGTCACTGGGGTGTCAGTGACATCAAGTTAGTCCCCCCCCTCATGTCAGAATGTCTGCCGCAGTCCCACCAAAAAAAACCCCAAAAACTATCTATACCGCCATTTGTAAATGCGATAACTTTTACGTAAACCAATTTACACGTATTGTGATTCTTTTTAGCAAAGACATGTTGCAGAATACATTTTGGCCTAAAATTATGATGAAATTTTATTTTTTTATTTTTTTTACTGGACATGTTTAATAGCTAAAAGTCCAAAATATTGGTTTTCTAAAAATTGTTGGTCTTTTTTGCTTATAGCGCGAAAAAATAAAAACCGCACAGGCGATCAAATACCACCAAAAGAAAGCTCAATTCGTGGGGGAAAAAAAAAGGACAAATTTCATTTGGGTGCAGCATTGCATGACAACACCATTATCAGTTAAAGTAACATAAAGCTGTAATGCAAAAAATGGCCTGGTCATGAAGAGGGGGTAAATCCTCAGGCGGGCAAGTGGTTAACAAGCATCAGTCTGGAGAGGGTTACAAAATTATTTCTAAGGCTTTGAGACTCCAGTGAACCATGGTGAGAGCCATTATCCACAAATGGAGAAAACTTGGAACAGTGGGGAACCTTCCAGGAGTGGCCAGCCCACAAAAATTACTTCAAGAGCACAATGACAACTCATCCAAGAGGTCATAAAAGAACCCAGAACAACATCTAAAGAACTGCAGGCTTCACTTGTCTCTGTTAAGGTCAGTGTTCATGATTCAACAAAAGGAAAGAGCAAAAATGGTATCCATGGGAGAGTTCCAAGGTAAAAGCCACTGCTAACCAAAAATAACACAAAGGCTCATCTCACATTTGCCAAAAAACATCTCGATTATCCCCAAGACTTTTGGGCAAATATTCTGTGGACTGATGAGACAAAATAACTTTTTTGGAAGGTGTGCGTCCCATTACATCAGGCTTAAAACTAACACAACTTTTCATAAAAAGAACATCATACCAACAGTCAAACAAGGTGGTGATAACGTGAAGGTCTGGAGCTACTTTGCACCTTCAGGACCTGGACAACTTGCCATAATTAGATGGAATAATGAATTCTGCACTCTACCAGAAAATCCTGAAGGACAATGTCCAGCCATCAGTTCATGACCTCAAGCTCAAGCACATTTGGGTTATGCAGTAGGGGACAATTACTTTTTCACATAGGGCCAGGCAGGTTTGGACAACTTTTTTCACTTAATTAAATCATCATTTGAAAACTGCATTTTGTCTTTACTTGGGTTACCTGTGTAATATTAAAATTTGTTTGATTATCTGAATCATTTAACTGTGACAAATATGCAAACAATTAGGAAGGGGCAAATACTTTTTCACAGCACTTGTACTCTAGCTGTTTAGCAGATAAACTAGTCTCCTTTACCAAATTCATCTATGCATTTAGCAGTTCACCTATAGCTCAGCTTTTGAGTCATTGATGTGAGCTTATTCAAAGCCCAGTGCCTTTTTTCCAAACTTTACCAGTGTTATGAGTGTTTCAAAAACCGCAGCAGCACTTCACAGAAAAGTGTATGAACTACTGCTCATACATAAAGGAAAAGATATATCAGTTCATAATGGTGCTAGATAATGTGGTGCTTTAAAAGTTACTTAGAAATATACTAGTGCTCCTACAAAGAAGTGTGTGAAAATACAATATGGTCTGCTCCCAATTTCTAACAGATAATAACATTAAGGAACAGTGATTTACAGCTAAATGGGCAGACTGCTGTGCAAGTGGATCATTTGCATGTGTGTATAAATAGAATGTCTTACCACTGCTGGTGATGGAACATGAATGCTGGCAACTGAACGGGGTCGTATATGGTTAGCAAGATGGCACAACACAACACCATCCATAAGTGCTCCTCCAATGTCATCTGGTAAAATGACCTTAAGCCTGGACTCAAGATTCTGTGAAAACAGTGTAATGATATTCTCCTGTTACTCAGTACTGTATTAACTGCAGTTTTAGAAAACAAAAATATTTAATGAAAATACATAAAAAGCTGACAGCGTTTCAACTACAAAGTAGAACTAAACAAATAATAAAAACAGTAATGTTCATTCAAATTCCACCTACAGTAAAACAGCTTATGAATATTTTTCATAACCCTATATATTATCGCAAACATAACATTTTAAAACTTTACATCCATGGATGTTAAGTTCATTACGTTGCATTTTTGTGCACCCCTGCTGGAGTGTGCACACAGTTTTCCCAACGCACATGTTTCTGTAAATGGCTATTAAGTAGTACTGGGTGCTGCATTGACCACGGGCTGGGTACCGCAGATGATTCAAGTGGAAGAATGTCACCAGCACACCAAGGAATCCTCAGAAGGGTCCAAAGCTTTATTTGTCACATAATATATACAGCAGCATTGTTTCGGAGCCACGCAGGGCCAGTCACTTACCTGACAAAGGGGCCCTGCGTGGCTCAGAAACACTGCCACTGGAATGCGGGTGTGCTTACACATTATGTGTCCACAGAAACTACATTTCCTAATGACCTCAGCACCTTTTCACTAAGCGCCTTTTAATTAAGCTGTTTTAGAGTTGTGGATTTTTATGATGCTCAAACATGCGTCTGCACGCTGAGAACAGGGACAAGCACAACCAGGAGACAATTTACTCCTGTAAAAGGGGTGGTGTCAGCCAGCAAAGAAAAGCAGAAATGGACTGTTCTTTTCACCATGGATATTACATAAGCAGACAACATTGACGGCAGGGGCACAGACGTACAGGAAGGACAGCAAGGTCGGTAACACTTAGGGTGAAAAATTAACAATTATTTTTTATTAAAATGGTAATACCCTGTCAGATTGCTTTCTGTATTTTATGTACTCTCAAAAAAAACACACAATTGTGGATATGGAGTCAACAGAAGAAAAAGAAAACAGTAATGTTGACTTACCTGTAAATTCCACATATTGAAGTACAGTACAGGACTTAGTCTGGATATTCATGGACTCTAAGTTATAAGCGGCTACCTTCAAGTGACTGGACACTGGCAAAGCTTTTGCGTTTGCCTCCTAGACGTGCCCTATAACTCTACCCCTTCTGTGAGACCTCCTTTTCTTAGCAAGCAATGCAGAGTAACACAGACAGGGGTGTTAAGTGTTGGCCTATGTCCTGTACTGCTATACTGTACTCCAAGATATGGAATTCACAGGTAAGTCAAAATTCCTTCTGCCTTAATTGCACAGTAGAGGACACATGTTGGATACACCCCCAAGTAACAAATCACAGTGGTGGACAACAAGGCAACAAACCGAACAGTGCTGACAAGTCCAAAAAAAAACAGGTCAAAGAGCCAACTCAGGCTGTCACTGTAAGGACCTTGTATCCAAAAGGCTGCATCAGCAAAGGTATAGACATCCACCTGGTAGAATTTGAAGGTATGTCTTATCCACCTAGCAATGGTGGACGTAGAGGTAGGATGTCATTTACGAGACCCTACTGGCAATACAAAAAGTGTTTTGTTTTGTTTTTCCAACAGAGGCCGTGGATGTCAGACAGACCTTGACAGCTCTGACCACATCCAGACAATGGAGAGCAATTTCTTTGGAATACTTTAGAGCAGGGCACAAACTCTTCATTAAGGTGGAGGACCAAGATAACCTAGGGTAGAAAGGAGGGTCTGGGGCACAAGACCACTTTGTCCTTGTAAAGGATGAGGAAAGGTTCTTTGCATGATAGAGCAGCTAACTTGGAGATCACCTAAGAGTAGTTCCCTAATGGGTTCAAAATGAGGTTTCTGCAGGGCAGTGATAACCAAATTGAGACCCGCAAGGAAACATAGGGTGCTGTAATCGAGGTCTGATCTGTTCAACACCTTGAATAAAGGTGTTTAATAAGAGTACTTAAGGCCAAATTATGGTCAAGTCTCATTGTATGAAGGCCACAAAAGTAGGTAGAGAGTAATCTCTGTGTTTTTTCCTATGAAGAAGTCATGAGGTCAAGTGACGAAACACGTCAGGAGGCGGATCTTAATGATGTAATCACGGCAGGAAGTCTGGGAGAGGCCATCTTTACATGTGGTATTCATAGAAGTTTATCCTTAAGGAGGCAATTTGTTTTTACATTTTAAAAGGCGATCTTTCAGGGCTTATTGAAGGGTTGGGTGTTTATTCACTACACCATGAGAGTTTTTTTTTTTTTTCCTTCCTGGCTTGATGTGCTATATCTTGAATCCGACCAAGGATGAATGAGCTACTTGAGGCAGTTTGAAAGACTGCTGCAGTTTTTCAACCGAGTGTGGCTGGGAAAGTGATTATGACTTGACTGAGTGTGGGTCAAACTGTGAGGTAAGAGTCTGAAGAGTCTGAAGTGACAGGTGGTGCGTACTGCGGTGGAGTACAGACTGCTATATATTGTGGATTGCATATGAAAGAGTTTTATGGATAGTAAGGAGTCAGAAACATGAAACACATTTGATGAAAGACTTTTTGAGATTAATATATGGACTTCACTTTATGATGTTTGATTTATTTATGGTGTAATTATTTTTGTTATATTGCACTTTTAAATTTAGTTATCCATATTGTTGCGCTGCACTTTAAATTATTTTTACTTAATCTCTGGGACTGAAGAGCCTGTGTTCACACCAGGCGAAATACAAATTCAATGTATGGTAGTATATCTTTTGTGAAGTGGCTTTTCTGGCTCTGAGTAAGAGAGGAATGACAGAGTCAGAGGTTCAGGACCTGGGCTTCAACAGACATACCATTTAAAGCCAGTGACTGAAAAGCATGATGGAACAGGGGCCCCTAAGACAGCAGGTCTGGCTTGTTCAGAAGAGGCCAGGAGTTATCCCCCAGAAGTTTGAGTATGTCAGTGTACAAAGTTCCTCTGGAATATAAAAATAGTTACTGTATGTCTGTACCACCTACTATTTCATTAAAATGCAGCAGCTGTATTTAGATATCTCCTGACATTCAATATAATATGTATGTTATCTACAGCTCTAAATAAATCCCAAATCTTATGTCACTAACCCTTCTATCCTATGCAATATCTGTGCTGTACTTCTGCAAAAACCTGTGCATAAATCTTATATCCTAAAATGCTTCCATACACAAGTACTCAAATATAAATTGGGTGCAAAAATGCCAACAACAAATTCTACATATTATTTCATGCTAGTGCAAAACCTGTGCATAAATCTTATGTCTTAAACTTTTTCCATATACAGTACTCGTATGTGATGCAAATTTCAATTCAAACGGTGACATCTCTAGCCAACTCTTCAGAAAACTTACCAGAATGTAAGACACTTAATAAAAAATGGATTATCATCACTTTTTTCCTATATAACTTCAGCAAACAGCCCCCACTAATAGGCATTCCATGTACACAGAATAAGAGAAACAAGGTACAAATAGCGTAAAAAAGTTTCCCGTCCCCTGGATCACAAGAGATTGAAACACTCAGCCTGTGAGGATGGCATCTGTTAGCACCTTCTATGGGCATGCAAGAAATGACCTCCCCATTTCCAATATTAGGCTGGAAATCCCCCAAGTTAGGGAGTTCCTTCCTTACTGGAGAGAAGCATGGGAAAATCGAGTTCTTTGTTCTAGGCCAACAGAATGTTGAGGCCTTGAGTGAAACTGAGCAAATAAGACCCAGGACCCTCTTCAAGAATTACACAAATGGATTTCTTTTTGACCCGAAGCCCTTCACGCCGACGTAACACAAATATGTGGCCTCACGGAACTGGGCTTTTTTCCGTGGGTCCGCATATTTGTGTACAACAGTGGAAACTTAAAGTGTGTAACTATAGGACCACCGCCAAGTGTTTGATTTGTGTGGACTGAGTGGTCACAGCTGATTCAATGACAGTCTCCACAACTGTTTTGCGTGTAATTGCATATTAGCTGCAGTGCTACTCGTGCAATTACATGTGAACAGCCACAGCCAGTGTTGGCTTGTCATTGATTTGTATAGGCTTCCTATCCACAGCCAGTGCAAACATCTCGCTGTACCCGCGGCAGAAACACTGATCTGGGCAGTGTTTGGCCCTGTATGGCCGTGTGAAAGAGGCCTAAGAAAGTGTTTTTTTTTTTTTAAACCTTTTCTCTACTTGGAAGCCTGGTTGTGAAAAATTAAGCCAATTTTCTACTAAAATATAACATAATGGATTCTAGGGAACCTACAACATAAACAAAACAAAGCCATTATATACAATTCAATGGTAATAAGTATTGCACAACCTTTGTTTTAGTTTTGCATGGTTTAGTACTATTAAGTAACAGACAAGCTGTACCTTACAAAGCACTTAATAAAATGTTCTGAAGAGAACTACTAGTTAAAAAAAAACAAACATACACCTTTTAAAATGCTGAACAAGGCACTTTTAAAAATAATTGCAAGGGAAAGTTTGTGTTTCCTCAACTTCTCAAGAAGCATTACCTCATCAGGGAAAACATAAATAATCGGTGAAGCAGTTTTTAAACTGATCTTTTGTAAACAAAAAAAAAAAATCCATGAACAAAATTTTTATTTCACAGATCAAAATTTAAAGTGGATGTAAACCCAAAACTTTTCTTTGTTATGGATAGAATATGGCTGGCCATTTTCTTTCCTTCAACAAGGGATTGCAGGAAAGAAAATGGCTTGGCTTGATTCCCCATCAACACTGACTGAATTCTCTCCCACTGTACTATTGTATTCTGACTAAGGTACAACCAACCTGCCCATAGGTGAATCAAAATTCGGCTGATTCCTTCTGAACTGGCAGAATTTTGATCCTTCTATTGGCTAGCTTTAGTTAAACCGCTTGTCAGTAAATATTGCGGTTCATGTCCCTGTTGAGGAGATTCACCCCCTTTAGCTGTCCTAATGAGAATTGTCACTGATAATAAAACGTAATGAGAAATCTTCCAATATACACCTGTTCTGGTGGCAAAATGTAACAATTACTCATACAAGACTCAAATTCCAGCTGATTCAAGACATTGGTGGCCTTGTCAACTGTCCAGGTATTCAGGTAGGTATGGGTGTTGTGCCTGCTTGACTACAAAAGTCAGCAGAGGAGATGCCTTCGTCTCTTGTGCTGTTCCTACTATGGATTATAGTGACAGATAACCCATCTATCAGTAAGCATTTTCATATTCATATTATAAAGGACTAATTATAGAGTTCAAATAGAATATGGCAGACCCTGGTTATCCAAGTGAATTAAGCAGAACTGTTTGTAAACCCCAATAAGGGTCTCCTTTTTATTTTCCCAGAAAAATGAAAGTGTCTGTTATTTCTTTCATATTAAACCATGCCCCAACAGCCAGCACTATATTATGAACACATACATTACGCAGCTGGTTTATCTGCTCTCTCTCTTCTCTTAGATGCTCCATCTTCCTTCTCATCGTGAAGCCCGGATCTACAGACCCATATTCTTGTCGAGAGGAACGGCTAAAAGCTGTAAATAAAACACCAATTAATATTCTCAAAAACAGGTAAGGTATGCGCATTGAACTTTGAAATGACGGCTAGAGCAGAACTGTCGAGCTTCAGGTAAAAGAAGAAGGGAAAGAAATGTGGGCATCCACTAACAAGTCTGTTAAATTCCTGTTCAATGGGAAACTACTAACACTGCTGCATTTGCAAGAGAAGCGCAGATCGGCTTTTTAGACGTCAGCTTACATTTATTATAATAAATGAACCTATATGACAGTGTCGTGCGTAAGTGCAGTTAGTGCATTAACAAGTGCATTAATCCGTCTAACATACAAAGTGCGTTATCCTAACACACCAATGTATTATATATTGCATAGATCCAAACAAATGTGATCAAATAAAATTCCAAAAGCCCACATGAAAAGAAAGGTTAACAATAGCTCTTGCATTTGTGTAAGACTTCAATTCCTTAGTGTGTTTATATATTCTCCACTTTTAACTTCTTATCACCAAGTATATCTCTCCCATCACCTATTTCCATATGCTCTCATCTTAATGTTTTGACCCAACAACCAAAACAGAGAAAGCAGAAATTGACATTCATGACATGTCAGTAGAAAAGCCAAGTCAATATGTGGCACTAGTATTACAGCAGTGATACATGTGGTTGGCATGCTGGCTTTATTCTACATGTGTCACATCTGTTCTTTTGCATGTGGGGGGTGGGGTGTATGTACAGTCATGGCAAAAATATTGGCACCCCTGCATTTCTGTCAGATAATGAATCACTTCGCCTAGAAAATTGTTGCAATTACAAATGTTTAGGCATTCTCATGTTTATATATTTTGTTTGTATTGGTAAGACCCCATGCAGGGGTGTTAATATTTTTTGCCATGACTGTATTTGTGTGATACAGTACTCGCTTTACTTCCATGCCTGCTTGAATGCAAGCGCTGCAGGGCCCCAGCAGTACGGTTGCATCTCTGCCCACCTCTTTTCTAGAAGATTTATGAAAGGCCTGAAGAAGAGGGGGATGGAGATTTGACTCACAGTGCTATGGTATTATATACCTGCAGCATTTACATCTAAGTGAGCACAACCAACAATCAGGGAAGAAGGGCCTTAGAGAGGTGACCAAGAACCCGATGGTCAATCTGACTGAGCTCCATAGATCCTGTGTGAAGATGGGACAAAATTCCAGAAGGACAACCATCACTGTAGCCCTGCACTGATCTGGGCTTTATGACAGAGTGGCAAGACGGAAACCTCTTCTCAGTGGAGTTTGCTTAAAAAAAAAAAAAAAGCACCTGAAGGACTCTCAGGCCGTAAGCAACACGATTCTCTGGTCTGATGTAACCAAGATTGAACTGTTTGGCCTCAATTCTATTTGTTATGTCTGGAGGAAACCAGGCGCTGCTCATCACCTGCCCAATACTATCCCAACAGTGAAGTAAGGTGGAGACAGCATCATGCTGTGGGGGGTTTTCAGCAGCAGGAAGAAAAGACTGGTCAGGGTTGAGGAAAAGCTGAATGGAGCAAACTACAGAAATATCCTCAATAAAAACCTGTTCCACAGTGCTCAGGACCTCAGACTGGGCCAAAGGTTCAACTTCCAACATGACAACAATTCTAAGTACATGGCCAAGACAACACAGTAGTAGCTTAGAGACAACTCTGTAAATGTGCTAAAGTGGCCCAGCCAGAAGCCTGATTGAACCCTAGTGAACATCTCTGAAGAGACCTGAAAATGGCTGTCCACCGACAGTCCCCACCCAACCTGACTGAGCCCGAGAGGATTTGCAAAGAAGAGTGGTAGAAAATCCCCCAATCCAGGTGTGCAAAGCTTGTTGCATCATACCCAAAAAGACTTGAGGTTGTAATTGCTGCCAAAGGCACTTCAACAAAGAGTAAAGGGTCTGAATACCTGAGTACATTTGATATTTCAGTGTTTTCTTTTTAATAAAGTTAAAGACATTTCTAAAATTCTCTTTTCACTTTGTCATTATCAGCTACTGAATGTAGATTAAGGAAAACAAATGAATTTAAACAACTGTAGTACAAGGCTGCAAATTATTATTGTAAAAAGTGAAGGGGGGGGCTGAATACTTTATAATTGCACTGTAATTCCTCCCGCTGACATAGTTGCTGGGGCACTATTCCATCCACTAGTATCAGCAATGGGGCACTATTTCTCCCACTAGTCTCAATGATGTGGCACTATTCCTCCGACTGACACAAACAATGAGGCACAATTTCTTCCACTGATACCAATCATGGATACGGTTTCTCTCATTAATACCAATGATGGGTCACCACTCCTCCTGCTACTGACCATCGAACCTGAAGCCATGTTTATTCTCACTGATGCTGGGCCTGGAACATTTTCTACTCCCACTTGCCACAAACCACCCCCTTTAAAGTCTGAAGGACAGTAAATTGGTCCTCTGATTGAAAGAACGTTGGAGACCCCTGACTCAAAATGTTCTTAGAAGTGTTTACACTACCATCAAAAGTTTAAGTGTGTGCTTTTTGCAGCAAGAGTCTGGGTTACGCATATGAGCTTCATTCTTTCTAACAAGTCACTAACAATGTAGGACCAATCTTTAAAATGTTTTGCAATATTTCAGGAAAAAAAAACCTCATGCTCAAACACTGTATTCCAAGATCTTGCAGCTCTCAGAACTAGAATTATTATGGTACATGGGAACAGAGAGTGTGATTCAAAAGCTTAAAGCGGAAATAAACCCTCCTATCCATTATAAGCAAGAAAGCTGCCGTGTTAGATTCTGCTTAATCTGCAAATGCCATGGTACTGCACATGTGAACAGTTTTAACATTAGTCATTTAAAGGCTTGACATTTGGGTTGAGAGGACAAGCACTTGTGACAGTTATCATTCACATCATGCCTTGAATGTAATTGTTTTGGGAAACAGTTAAATGATAGGTTTAGTTCCGCTTTAATCTGCAGTTGCCCAATCCAAATGGTAATAAAGCTGTATCTTCATTTGTACTTTGTCACCCTTTTACTTCAGAATAAGTTACCATCTCGTTCACATGGCTGTTGGTGTACACTGGGAAAAACCGTACCGATGCACTGATCCTTTTTTTGGTTTTTTTTTTTTCTTTTTATTTTGTTAGAACACTTAGCCCTGTGCAAATTTTATGAACAGGCCCTTATACAGCCCTTCCAGATCACATAGCTAAGCTAGTTTCCTCACTATGCTTTTCTATAAAACTTGGAAAACTTTTTGCACCCAGCCTGTGGTCATTATTCCTAAGTGCTCTGTCCTACTGTCAGAATGTTTCTTATAAAAACAAGTACTGTAGATGTAGCAGATCTCAAGTGGTGCCTAGCTCTGCCTCTCAAATGGTGGAGTGGAAGGCAGGAGCCTTCTACTACAGGGGTGTGGAAATTTTTGAAAAAACTACTTGTCCAGGGACTAAATCAGTGTCCCAATATATTTGTCCCTCATGACAATCTACTTGTCAAGATAAAAATAAATACATTTTAACCAAAACTGTATTAAAATCTGCTTTAAGTTATGTCTATGGCTTTTAAAAACAAAAAGGGCTTTATGGTGATTTAAACGTTTAATATTTTTAACATTGCATTGTAAATCTTTTTCTCCCCTCCCTGCCTGTCTCCAGCACCGCCCCCAGGGACTAGCAGGGAGGGGAGAGACCTTGCAGTGTAATGAGCACCGATTTTGTGCTCGTCAAGAAAGGGGAGTGTCGGGCTTATCCTTTTCGCTACCAGTCGTTTTTTACGTTTTTTTGCACAAGTTTAACAAATCATTTAGGGCCTGAACATTACACAAAACTCCAAAACATGATACATTTTTTAAATCATATTTTTTAAATATAAAAGGCGAGGTTGCATTGAGTAAATAGATAGCCAAGATGTCAAACCTTTAATTTGCATGCACTCGTGAAATGGCGACAAACTTCAGTACCATATATTTTCTATAGGTGACGCTTTTAAAGCCCCTTATAGGTCATCAGTTTAGTGTTACGGAGGAGGTCTGCTGCTAGAATTATTGCTCTCATTCTGGCGTGCGTGGCGATATGTAACATTTTCTTGCGTAGGTGCCCCAACGTGTGCTTTTACATTTGCATGTGCGTACATATGTGGGGGTGGGGGGGCTTGAAATTTTTTTTGGGGGGTTATATGCTTGGGTGTAACTTTAATTTTTTACAAATAACATTTTTTTTTTAACTTAAATTTTTTTTTATCACATAGGGGACAAAAAGTACTCTATGTGATGATTTCTGGTGACAGGTTCTCTTTTTTGAGACATCCAGGGTCTAAAAGACCCCCAATGTCTCCCTTGTGCTACACTGAATGTAATGCAGTGCACATCGCACTGCATTACATTTTTTCCCAGCCTCTGTCAATGGGGACCCAGAAGTGACGTTACATCACTTCCGAGTCAGGACAGAAGGGGAGGAGAGTGGATTCGTCCATTCTCCTCCCTCCCATATACTCGCCGGCAGCCACTGAACTGGTACCAGGCCCGCAGATTGACAAGCGGAGCCCAGGACATATAGCGGGCATGGGGGGAGAGGTTGGCACTGTGGGTTGTGTGGAAGCGATCGGGCAGCAGCGCTGCCGCCCGAATGCTTCCATCTGACAGGTGAGGCCTGCTGTTTGCCCGCAGCAGGGCTAAGATGTAAAAAAAACTACCTGCCAGGAACTACATGTTCTGGGTGTGGGGCGATACAAATTGGACATCCCTGAGGTAGTACAAAAAGGGACATGATTTTTCAAAAAGAAGAGGGGGCTGCCAGTTAGACCCTGACAACATTGAAGAAGTATAGTTAAATTTCCTAGAATGTTTTCGATTAGGACAGAGGGAAGGCAGAAGACCAGAAAGGCAACCTTACATGTGAGGTTCTCAAATGAATATCTCTAATCAGCTCAAAGGGAGGTCTCTGAATTGCAGAGGGTTCAGATTCCAAGGCAACACTGGGATCAAATTGGAAGATTTAGATGAACAACTCCCTGAACAAAGTCTTGATTAAGGATTGCAAAATGAGAGGTTTCTGGAAGAGAATGAATAAGGCAGAAAACTATCAGGTGTCTGTCCGTGCACAAGGCAAAGTAAGCTTTCCATGTGCGATGATACTTTTTGCAGCAAATAGATCTTGCTTTGGGTACAGTGGGGGCAACCAATTAGGAGATACCCCTACCCTTCAGGACCTGGGTTTTAACATGCTGTTGCTGTTAACGCCAGCGACTGAGAAGTGGGGTGGAATAGGAGGCCTTGCTACAGTAAGTCTGGTCTGTTTCAGAGAAGTCAAGGCTCATCCACCAGGAGTCTGAATAGGTCTGTCTATGTACCACATCCTCCCAAACCAATTCCGTGTGCTGAGGAATACCGGAAAGCTTTCGATCACTATCCTGCACAGCAAATGAGGAGAATCTTTATCATAGGAAAGGCATATATCAGCCTGACAGGAGTTCTAGGAAGCACCACTGCAAAGGCCAGAGAACCCCTAGTCCTGGCTACAAATCCATTCAGTTTGTTTTTCAATCTGGTGGCCAGGATGTCAATGTCTGGTTTGCCCTACCTTTGACAGCATCTGAAACATCTCATGGTCGAATAGACCACACCCCGGATCTATGGATGGTATCTTTGGAAGTCCAGAGAATGTGGATGGAAAGGGCTGAAATGGAAAATGTGCTGCAGATATAATCCTAAAAGACAACTTACGCTCCAGGAAAACTATAAGGGTGTTAACTCAGGTGAACTCCAACATCATCTTGGTTGGCACCCCATCTTAACCAAACAGCATAATTAAAAGAAAAAACACTTCGGTTTTTGGGAATTCTTACCTGACCTTGGCTTTAATCCAAATGGCGTTGGAGAGCTACTGTGTGACCTTTCACAGTCCTAAAATAGAGATAAACAATAAAGTTATGCTGAACCAGATATTCTTCAAAGATAATAGTGACATGTTCCTAGCTCATGCACTGATAGGTCTATGAGAGTGGCAACACAGGAAATTTAGTTTAAATTTTTCCAATTAAAAGACAACCCCATCCAAAACATTTCTCAGTTTTCAGAGACTGTTAGAAAGTGGAATCACATACTGGCCTCTTAAATCACTTGGGGACTCCAATGGTGAGATCTGTCAGAATTCAGTTTCAGATTACTGCTGCTGTCGGGCCATTACATTGGATCTTCCACAAAACAAAAAAGACTGGATTTTAGGAGAAGTAGCAAAGAGGAACGTTTGCCACTGGAGTCTTCAAGAGATCAGAATTTGGCTGGTGACTCACTCAATCAATTTTGGGATGAAGTGGCCCTCATACTATTAGTGCTTGCACCCATGATCCATTTGAGTCTATTTCTGTTCATCAGAAATTAATTATAAGAAGGTTGGCACTGTTCAAATGGAAAATTAGGAGCATAGTATTTTGTCTGAAAAATTCTCAACTTCCTTAATCTATCCTATAAAAACTCAGTGAGCAGAGCTGGCAGACCTCTGCCCACCACAAACTGAGAAAAGCAAAAATCCATTATGCACTAAAGCACTCAAACATGTTAAAATAATTTCTAGCAAAAAACCCAATAAAACATTAAACATAAAACATTTTAAATGGCAGGCCTGTCAAAATTAATTTTTTAGTTGCAAGTACCTGCCTATGGATTCACACACTAGATTAATATGCAGGATTGAAACTGAAATACTATGCCATAATTCCAAGCTCTGGCCTCCCAACAGAGCACAGCAATAGGGGGTGTTACTCTAACATTTACATTTTTTTACTTTTTTGGTATACACATGAGCAGAGACTCCATGGAAGCCAAAGCAGCTAGGACACACAGTGGGCAATTCATTCCTCCAGCATCCATTCATAACTAAAATTCTGATTTGGGTGGGCTGGACCCAGAAATAAAAGGAAACCAAAACATAACATGTACCTCTGATGACACTGGAGATGAGGGTGACACATTTGCACTATCACTGTTTTGCTAAAATGAAATGAAAAAAAAAAAAAAAAAAAGTTATCAGACTGTATTCTACATTGCATGTGTAGACTAGGCAGCAAACTATGTGAATGTTCCGTCTGCAGTTCTCTTTAAGATTATTTGGGAATTACCACTTTAGGAATATTCATCAACCAATAACATATTCTAAAAAGGCAACTTGGTTTAACAAGAGGTTACATTCTATCAAACCAGTAACCTCTCTCTGCTCTGTTTCTGAATGTCATACGTAACCTGTTTAATCGTGTACTGGCATATTAAACACATTATATAAAACTGCCAGTAGTAGATGTGCTTACTATAAATTTTATATATATATATATATATATATATATATATATAAATATACACACACATACACACACACACATATATATATATATATATATATATATATATATATATATGTAAGCTAGTTTGTCAACTGTATCTAAATGTATATATTTGGTGACTGAATCGCTATTTGTAACATTTAATATACAAGGTCATGGTTTAGGCAGTATTAATGTTCTATATACCGTTTGAATTATAATCATTCATAGTGATGATGACATATTAAAAGATTTGTTTTTGAGCCCAATAAATATTCCACTTAGTCCCGTTTTCATACAGTAACTGTAATCTGAAACCCTGCCTAGTCTTTATAACATACATATTGCACATTATGTTGTACAGGCAACATATATTCAGCTGAGCTGTTTGTATAACCTGGTTCATGTAAAATGCATCGCAGGTCGATGAATGATTGATATATATGGAACAAAAAGACAAATGGGTAACTGTGCAAATAAAAGGATATCATTGCAGATTAAAATTTCCAGACGTCATACTAGTAAATTTAATACACACACAAACATACATGCATCAAATTCCTTAGCAGAAAATTAATTTTTGGTAAAGGATGCATCAGTGATCCAACATTTTGTAAATTCTTTTTCCATAAGCTGTTAGGCATCTTGAATTTTTAAAAGTTTTGCCTACAAAATTTGCCCGCCATCAATTTGGAAAACCTCAAAACATCCTCTAGGCACTTCCCTGAGCCCAGTATGTACAAAGCTAGTAGACACACACCTTGTAGTTTCTGGTCTTTGGCATGCATGACACTTACCATTAAAAGTTTTAAAAGGTTGAGATTGAAATCACACTAGTGTGATTTCAGATGTGACAAGATTGCATTGTTTTCAATTGGTTTGCTCTTGTACAATGAAAATTGCCCTGTATGAAGTGACAAAGTAAAATTCAGGATCAAAGCAGCCAGCAGCCAACTGGGAATCTGTGCTGCATTTTGGGAGACTTTGCCAGAACTCTTAGAGCAGATTAACTTATGCACACTGCACCTTTTCCATCAGGAACACAGAAGGTTGTTCTGACATCTGAAAGTATGTACAGGTCAGGGGCACCAGTCATGTCATTTCCTTCCTCCCTCCCTCCCTTTGTACTCACCGCAAAATAAATAAATAATTTAACCACGTGCCTACTGGGCACTTTTACATTTTTTTCCTCCCCAGGCCAATTTTCAACTTTCAGCTCTGTTGCACTTTGGTGGTATTTAATCACCACTGGGGTTTTAATTTTTTTGTGCTATAAATAAAAAATAAAAGACCAAACATTTTGAAAAAAATAATGTGTTTTTCTTTGTTTCTGCTATAAAATTTTGAGAATAAATAATCTTTCTACATTCATTTAGGCCAAAACATATTCTGCTACATTTCTTTGATGAAAATAACCCAAACCAGTGTTTATTATTTAGTTGGTAGGAAAGTTATAGAGTCCAGAAACTAAGGTATATACCTAAAAATTGATAAATCCTGTAAAAATAATAATTTAAAATTTTTATTATTTTTAATTAAATTTTTAATGATTTTATTTTCTACTTCTGTGACCAGAGCAATACAATGTTACATAGTAGCATTGTACTACTCTAGGAAAGTGATCAGGATTTATTTTGTTTTTTTAAACACATTACTGTATGATTGCTTATATCAACAAATTTCATTGGTATAAGCAAGCATTTTTACTTAATGAAATGGATTCATTCAGTAGTTTTTGTTGTGATCAGCTGTGATTAACCACAGCAGATCATGGTATACAGTTGGACAAAAAAGTATTTAGTCAGCCACCAATTGTGCAAGTTCTCCCACTTAAAAAGATGAGAGAGGCCTGTAATTGGCATCATAGGTAGACCTCAACTATGAGAGACAAAATGAGAAGAAAAATCCAGACAATCACATTGGCTGATTTGGAAAGAATTTATTTGCAAATTATGGTGGAAAATAAGTATTTGGTCACCTACAAACAAGCAAGATTTCTGGCTCTCACAGACCTGTACCTTCTTCTTTAAGAGGCTCCTCTGTCCTGCACTCATGACCTGTATCAATGGCACCTGTTTGAACTTGTTATCAGTATAAAACGACACCTGTCCACAACCTCAAACAGTCACACTCCAAACTCCACTATGGTGAAGACTAAAGAGCTGTTGAAGGACACCAGAAACAAAATTGCAGACGTGCACCAGGCTGGGAAGACTGAATCTGCAATAGGCAAGCAGCTTGGTGTGAACAAATCAACTGTGGGAGCAATAATTAGAAAATGGAAGACATACAAGACCACTAATAACCTCCCTCGATCTGGGGCTCCACGCAAGATCTCACCCCGTGGGGTCAAAATGATCACAAGAACGGTGAGCAAAAATTTCAGCACCACACGGGGGGGACCTAGTGAATGACCTGCAGAGAGCTGGGACCAACGTAACAAAGGCTACCATCAGTAACACATTACGCCGCCAGGGACTCAGATCCTGCAGTGCCAGACGTGTCCCCCTGCTTAAGCCAGTACATGTCCGGGCCCATCTAAAGTTTGCTAGAGAGCATTTGGATGATCCAGAAGAGGATTTGGGAGAATGTCATATGGTCAGATGAAACCAATATAGAACTGTTTGGTAGAAACACAACTCGTCGTGTTTGGAGGAGAGAGAATGCTGAGTTGCATCCAAAGAACACCATACCTACTGTGAAGCATGGGGGTGGCAACATCATGCTTTGGGGCTGTTTCTCCGCAAAGAGACCAGGACGACTGATCCATGTACAAGACAGAATGAATGGGGCCATGTATCGTGAGATTTTGAGTGCAAACCTCCTTCCATCAGCAAGGGCATTGAAGATGAAATGTGGCTGGGTCTTCCAACATGACAATGATCCCAAACATACCGCCCGGGCAACGAAGGAGTGGCTTCATAAGAAGCATTTCAAGTTCCTGGAGTGGCCTAGCCAGTCTCCAGATCTCAACCCCATAGAAAACCTTTGGAGGGAGTTGAAAGTCCGTGTTGCCCAGCGACAGCCCCAAAACATCACTGCTCTAGAGGAGATCTGCATGGAGGAATGGGCCAACATACCAGCAACAGTGTGTGCCAACCTTGTGAAGACTTACAGGGACACGTCTGACCTTTGTCATTGCCAACAAAGGATATATAACAAAGTATTGAGATGAACTTTTGATATTGACCAAATACTTATTTTCCACCATAATTTGCAAATAAATTCTTTCCAAATCAGCCAATGTGATTGTCTGGATTTTTTTTTCTCATTTTGTCTCTCATATTTGAGGTCTACCTATGATGCCAATTACAGGCCTCTCTCATCTTTTTAAGTGGGAAAACTTGCACAATTGGTGGCTGACTAAATACTTTTTTGCCCCACTTTAGATGGGCTGTGATTGGCCCCGTCTGTACATGTGACAAATCACAACTAGCAGCACAGTTGTAAGCAATTAACGGTATGAAAGGAAGCCATTCATTGTTTACAACTGTCATAAGATCTGCTGTAATTGGTCACAGTGATCACATGACACTGGGGCAGCGGGCTGGTGTGTCTATGACATCCTCTCAGAATAATAGGGATACC